GCATAAATCAGTAAAGGGAGACTCAAGCCTTCCTTTAAAGAAAGAGACAGAATCACACAGGAAGTCTGTGACAGAATAGAACCCAGATTGTCTAACTCTAAGCCCTTGCTTTATCTCCAAGACCGACCGACCTCCTGTGAACCACATTAGTCTCTTCCAAGCTTTAAAAATGTTTCCACTTATATACGTTCATGTCTGTGTTATTAGAAAATTCATTTAAAACCCTAGCAGACCTTATCTTCCTGGAGAGTCTAACAGCTGCAGTCAGCTGAAGTCACATTGTGTGTCTCAGCTTGCATGGAGCTAGCAGTGCTTTTCCACTCAAAGGACCTATGGTTGGACTTGCTCTCAGCAAAGAGGAAATCTGGCATTTCAGAGAATAAACTCACTCTATTCAAAAGCAAGCTTGATATTTAGGGGCATTGCAACTTCAGCTAGATTTAAACCCATCACTGCTGAGAGAGACTGCAGAGCTTGTTTGGAAGAAACACTGAATGTTCTCTGAAATGCCACAGGAACTCCACCAACATGGTGCCCAATATCCCTCCCATGGAAAGTTTGTGATAATTCAGGAAGAAAGGGATAATATTCACTTTCCATTAGAATTCCAGAAAGAGTATATAGGTATTGTACATGACACCAGAGACAAGCAGAAAGAAAACTTACTTCTTCCTTCATTTGAGAGCTATTTCAAGCCCGGCTGTAGCTACTTCAGAACAGTGCCATGATACAGAATACACATGAAACAAAATGGATCATTTTCAGGTTCAGTGTCCAATGTGACACTAAACATTGAAGCTAAAATGATCTCAGTGGTGGCAGATGACAGAACAGAGAGCAATGGTCTCAAGTCGCAACAAGAGAAGTTTAGGTTGGATATTAGGAAAAACTTTCTTACTAGGAGGGTGGTGAAGCACTGGAACTGGGTTACCTAGAGAGGTTGTGGAATCTCCATCCTTGGAGGTTTTTAAGGCCTGACTCAAAAAAGCCTTTGCTGGAATGATCTCATTGGGGATGGTCCTGCTTTGAATAGGGGGTTGGACTAGATGATTTCCTGAGGTCCCTTTCAACTCTACTTTTCTATGATTCTATGATTTAAGATTCTGAAAGCATGTGTTACAATTTACTGATGGAGTGAAATAGATGTCTTTAAAAATGTGAAAAAAACAGTTCATGTTTCCATTATTTTCCTAGACTTCATTGCCAATTTAAAGGCACAGTAATTTGTTTGGGTTTATGTACATGAAAAAGAGAGAGGTGAGGGAGGACAGGAGGAGGTTAAGTGTGAGATCTGTATAGCATATGCCTTATCAAAAAAGAAATGTAATTAATTTGAGTTTTCAACTCCCACTGTAAGTACTTGAAAGTTCATTGCAATGCCAAGAGCACACTAGACTATCTACAGTTATTTCCTAACAAAAATCATGTAGCCGTCATATTTTGGCACAGTTTGAAATAAATATTCACTGTGGAAAGGGATTAAAAACAAAACAAAACCACTCTTGCTTAATAGCATGTGTACTCTGAAGCACCATCAATGTTTTGGATACTTCAGTTAAGTATCTCTTACCATATCCTTCAGAGACTGAGGCAGTGAAGGTTTCACTATAATGGAAGAAAAGGCTGAAGATCTTGTAGGGAACCCTGAGAGCTTTCTGCATACTTCAGGTGGTACTCTTTGCTCTTCATGAGGAAGCCTAAGGACCCGACACCAACAAGTAGAAAGAGTTCCATGGGCTTTTTTCTGCTTCTGGCAGCAGGTCTCCTCAGACAACATGCAAGTCCCATTATTCTCTTAGTATTATGCACTAGGCCTAGGTCTTGGTCACTTTGAAATAGAATTAAATAAATACATAATCAAGAGTTTACAACACAGGGTACATTCCTATGAGAGTTGCTAATTTCAGGAGAATGGAGGAAGAGAGGCAGCTGTGCTTCTCAAAAGAGTGAACCAGTGGTTTTCATGCATATTAATGGATTTCTTCTCACAGAAGATGGGTTGTTGTATAAAATAATGTTAACTGGGATGTGTATGTGATAAAATTCCATACGTTTCTAAGCAGGCTATGCATGATCCAATATTGTAGATGGGGAGAAGCTGATAAAAGATAGGTGGTAGGCCACAAAAAGGTGAAGAGCTATTCACAATGGCAATATTAGCATTTTGCCCGATTAATTTTAGTTTTATGTCTCCATATGCTTTAAACAGTTTCTTAATTTCTAATTTGGTGCATCATTATTTAAATACATTACTTAGGAATCTGAAAATATTATTTTTATAACATCTTGAGTCCAGAGTTTGAAAGGCACAGCTTCTAAGTCATCTGCCTGCTGGAAATGGAAGATTGGATTTAGAAGTTGCTTCCTTATCATTGATAATAAGGATTAATTGTTTCGGGTATTTTCTTAGTCCTTGTTGCTTATCTGTTTTTCTTTCTTACGTTTTCTTGTCTGACCTGCCACCTATCTGCCATACAGATTAGATCCTGCCAACAGGCACAACCATTAGGGCTGTGCGAAGCTTCAGTCCCTGATTCAATTTGGTGGCCGAATCTCTGAATCCGAATCAAATCAGAGGACCCTTTAATCTTTCTGAATTGAATCAGAACTCTCCAAATTGATTTGGAAAGATTTGGAGATTCGGACATAGACATAGCTTTAAATGTTTCTTCTACATACCTCTAGGTGGCAGGTGGCTCATGAATGCAGCGATGCAGGGGCACATGGAGTGTCCCACAGAAGCGTGGGGGGCTCCTCAGCATGCTTGGCAGCAGACCCGGAAGTGTATCAGAAGCAGTTCTGATAGACCTTCGGGTCCACCAGGGAGCGTGCAGCTCCCCCCGCCCCGCCATGCCCCTCCCCATCTCGGTGGCTGGTGCCTCCTAAGTCTGGGCGGGGGGCCTGGGGTCCCCCTGCAGCCACTTGCTGAGCCAGGAGGGTGTTGGGGGGTGAGGGGGCCCAGCACACTCTCCGACAGACCCAGAAGTGGACCAGAAGCAGTTCCGGTCCACTTCCAGGTTTGCTGCTGAGCACATGAAAGCCCCCCTGCCCCGTACTCCTGTGGGACACCATACACCCCAGGATCGCAGCTTTCACAAGCCATGCTGGTACCTCAAGGTACGTAGAAAAAACATTTAAAGCTGTGTCTGTGTCCAAATGCTAATTCTCCGAATCAACATCGAATCTTCAGATTTGGATTCAGCTGAATCAGGCACAGTGATCCAAATCAACTAATTAAATCATTGTCCCTGATTCAGGCCAATCCCAAATTGAATAGGGCCCACTTCACACACCCCTAACAGCCATGCCTTTCCTCCTATCTAGCCACTCCAAAACAAATATTGGTCTTGTCCGCAAAAGCCAAGGCCCAGATCTTATTTTTAAATTTTCCTTTTCACCGTATGTACTCCAGCTGCATGGCTGACACAGCCAACTCTAAGCGAGTGGACTATGCAAATAGTATAGACGAAAGAGTTTTGCATTCAGAACATTTAATTGTGTCATGATTGTGTCTACTGCAGTTTCCTAATATTTTATGCAAATAATACAGTGTAGGTAAAAAATCTCATGAGCAAGCATTTTCTTTGCTTCCACTGTTTAAACAAAATGGCACATACTTGCTCTGCTCATTTTCTGAAGGTTCATATGTGCCAGTTATTCCCATATAGCAAAATATCCAACTGAAAGGGAAAACTGCACCAGTTTTGGCAATGTTTTATACTGAATATTTTTTTCAGCCTCACAAAATTCTTTGTGCCATCTCATCAGGCATATGATCCAAACTTATTGAAGTCAGTAGAAAAAACATTTGGAGAACATTTTTATTTAAAAGGCTTTCATTGTATGATCAGGTGAGTATTTTTTGTGCCCAAATTCATATTACAGCTTCAAAAACATGAGGAACCATTGATGAAGACATTTGTCATCGGTTAATATTTTATGACATCTGAAATAGTATTATGTAATGTTATGAAACAGTATCAGAGTTTCAAAGAGCCAGACTACATCCCATTATGCATTCTTGCTAGTTTAATTATTTAAGAAAACACGTGACTATTTTATATTAACCAATATATTACATTATATTAGATCAGGTTATGTTACATCAAAATATAAAGCAGCTGTGGGAGCTCTTATGTTTCATTCAAGTACAAACTGCAGCAGCAGCAGCTAACTTAGAAATGTTTATGTTACCAGATATTTCAAGTTTAAATACAAAGGGCATTTAGCTTTGTGTGGTATTTTGTTTTTTATTTTTGGTTTGGTTTAGTTTTGGTTGTGTGTGTATGTATACCCTGGAGAAAACTTGGCAAGGAAAATGGGCACCATGTTATAATAATGGAATACTACAATGAACCAACTCTGTTTTTCCGGTTTCTGAATAAAAAGGTATATTGAAAGGACTGGAGGTGTATGAAATATAGCAAAAATGAAGTCTGAAGCCTTACTGTGTTACAAAAATATTGAAAACCTTCACATTGAAAATTATTTTCAGGCAGAAAGCATTTTCACTGTAAAAAAAGCCAAGTTTTTTGTGACTGCATATTTTCACTGCCAGATTGCCAGCTTCATGGAATTTAATCAAAATGTGAAAATTAGAAGTATGGCAAACCTGTAGAATGAAAATGGAAGAAGAGTAATAAAACATATTGTGTTCAATTTTTCCATCATTTTGAGTAGCCTGCAAGTGCTGTTCTTTTCTTTTTGTCTCAGTTATTTTAGTTGGTATATCACTGCAGGGCCTGAGCCCCATATTACATCTTGGCAGGGCTGAGCACATTTGGCACTCAGTAAATATGAGGAGCGAAGTAGCCTCACTTTGGAAAATATAGCGACTGTGGTGATCTAATTCGTGATTATTGTACTTACTAATTTTTATTCATAATAAGTAGCAAAAACACTGGCTAAATTCAGTATTTCCTTTACATAAGTTAGTGTATTGTACACCTGAATCTTTTTCACTGACACGTGTCCCAATGTTTGATGTTGCCCTTATGCAGGATGGATGGTCACAGTATCACTTTGTAGCCTCATCTTCAACAATAGAGAGGGATCGGCAAAGACCATACTCTTCATCACGTACACCCTCCATCTCTCCTGTGCGCATGTCTCCTAACAATCGCTCAGGTAAGACCATGATTACAGGGTTAAGTAAATAAAGATGTAATCCATCAATGTCGGTCTCCATCATTGAGCACTGTCAGTGACATCTGGATGCATTATTAATCATGATGGAAATGTGTGAAAAACATTTTTCATTCTTATCAAGTTTACGTGTTTAAACACTGAATGCTTTTTATGAGAAAGTTTTGTAGAAATAGTGAGCAGGTAGAGTATTCAAGGGAACGTCTTCCTGTAACTGTCCATTCAGTATTTTTCACGTGCTCTCACCAGTTATGAGTGTTTGATTGGGAAAGTGAAAAGTCTTAGTGCTGTTGTACCCACTGGCTTCATACAAATGTTCAATTCTAGTGGTGGAAAATCTCCACTGCTAGAAATGATTCCGGGAGAGGAAGCAGTACAGATGTTCAGTCTGCAACCACCCCATTTCCTCTGGTCCTTGTGCCTTCTTAACCCTAGGGTGATCTCTGTCTGAGGAAAGTGCAGGCTGCTCCAGTCCTCCCATTCCTAGGCACCCTCTCTCTCTCTCTCTCTCTCTCTCTCTTTGGTTAGCTCAGGCTTGTCCAACATACGGCCTGTGGACCACCATGTGGCCCGCCAAGCCATTTTATCTGGCCCGAGGCAGCAGCACTGCCGCCGCTGTGAAGCACAGAGCCGGCGCCGGCGCTGTCGCCACCACTCTGGAGCATGGAGCAGGGAGCCGCCACCACCGCGGAGCGCGGAGCCACTGCCACCGCGGAGCATGGAGCTGCGGCGGCTGTGGTGGCGGTGGCAGCAGTGGGGCAGAGGCGAGGCAAGGCAGGCAGTGCCGGCCCGTGGGCCCCAGCCGGCAGCAAGGGGAGGGGAGCTGCTTACCCCCACGGGGCCGGGCTCATCAGTGAGCCAGGTCCTGCCATCACTGACCCAAGGAGAGACAGCAGTGATAGACTGCAAAAGTAAAACAGGGAATAGAGTGGGAGGAAAGCAGGGGGAAAAAGGCCTAAGGGAAACAGGACAGTGATAATAGTACAAGGTGAGAGAGACTCTCAAACAAAAAGGAAAAGGAGGAAATCAGGAAAACAAAAGGCAGAGCAAATGAGGAGGAGGGGAGGAAAGGTTCGGGAAAAAGAAGAACGTAAGAGGTGGGGTCAGGCAGGTACCTGGTGATGAATCAGATGTCAGGCAGGTTGTAATGTGTCATAAATCCAATGTCTATGTTAAGCCCATGAAATATTGAGTCTGTGAAAATAAAAATAAGCATCTTTGTCTGTATAGGTTTTATTTTTTTATTTATTCAAAACATACCACCAGGATGGGAAAAGAGGATGCAAATGCAGGAACCAGGGAACCAATCTCCCCACCCCACGACTACATTACAAGCAGCGATGCCAGCTCTGCTCTGCGGAGCCTGCAAGGGAAGCCTTGCACTGGGGGGAAGGGAAACCCCCATGAGACCCCACATAGCTGCAGCAGGGTCCCAGACAGACTCGGGGGAGTGGGTAAAACCTGAAGGGCAGCAGG